CGGCCGCCCCTCGGGGGTAACGGCCGCCGGTTTTCCTCCCTCACCGGGCAGGGAAGGAGGGCGCGGGTGGGAGCAGCGCCCCGGGCCCGCCGCCGCGGTGCCTCTCGGCGTCTCGTCTCTTCGCGTCAGGAAGAGCGCTGATAAATATCTCCCGGGCAAAACACATTAGCCAATATCCAGTTTCATTCCTCGCAGGCGACTAGTCAGAACGGTGGGGAAAATAAAAGCTTTACAATATTTTTGCCCTCTTGTGCTTGCAGTTAGAAACACTACGATTATAGTTTTGAGCATGGAAGAACTGCCTGCCTTTAAAATTCCTGATGGCAGGCACTGACTTTTATTCATCCTCCTCAGCTGCTAAATCTGCATTTCCTTCTTAGTGAAATGTGATGCATAACCTGTTTTGTTGTTGTTTGTTTGTTTGTTTTAAAAAGGTTTCCAATAGCAGAAAAACAGAACTGCTAAGGATGGGCAGATTCAAGGACCAAGAAGGCTGCTTGGAAATTACTTTGTGGGAAGCTGTGATGCATTTGGTTTAGAAGAGCAAAAACACGACTATAACATGCAGTCCTCTTCGCTGCATGAAGAAGCCAAAGTTAGAAGATGAGGTGTAGACATGGTCAATCCTGCCTGCATCTAGCTCTTAATACCCATGAATGATTCAACTTTACTTGGGATAATGGGCATCTTCTCATACAGATTACTTTAATCCCAGTATTTTTTTTTTTTGGGGGGGGGGAGGTTCTGTATTGAAATGCCTGCAGAAAGCTGCAGAAACTAGTGTTATACAAGTTACCCTGAACCTGAATACTGCTGCAAAGATAGTAGTAGGACTAAGACAGCTAGCTAGTAAGTTCAGCAGCAATAATACCGCTGCAGAAAGCTGCAGAAACTAGTGTTACACAAGTTACCCTGAACTTGAATACTGCTGCAAAGGTAGTAGTAGGACTAAGAGAGCTAGCTAGTAAGTTCAGCAGCAGTAATACCAATTTACACATCCCTATATGGGATTCACATTGTATTTTGGAAGTTAAATGTCTTCTTCCTGAGAACCAAGGAGAGTTAATTCAATTTAAAAAATAAAAATAAAATCCCAGAGCCTGGGAGAGTCTCATGATTATGGTGTTAGTATCTCTGCTAGGCAGTATGATTGGAATTACCCAGGTGTAATGATATAGTGACAAGTTTTGGGTCCCCTTTAAAGATAAAACTCCCCAAACTCCCACAAGCTAACTAGTATAGAGACAGGCAATAGCACTAGTGTAATTTAAAGGACTATTCACCTTCATCAGCATGGATATATTAAATATATAACTAATACATTCATATGTTCTTGTTAAAGAAGTATGTATTATATAAATCTGATACCAAATTTAGGCTGTGGTAAAACAAAGTTATAAAAATGTGTTCAGTAGAAATGTTTTATTTTCAAACAAGATTATCCTTTTCTTTAAAGAAGCTCTGTTTTGTATAGTTTCCAACTCAAATCATGTGTGTATCTGTGGAATATGTGCATGTGTATCTAGATAGTTAGAAAGTAAAAATGAGTAATAAATCATTTACAAAAAAAATCGTTTAACTTTTTACTGTCAAGAAACAAGGCCTCTTTGGAAAGGTGCATTTTTTTTAATAGTCTTACAGTGCTAGGGATAACAGGTAAAGATGTATCTTTAAAATATTTGCTTTTTAATGGTGGTGTCTTTGAATTATATTTGTAATAGAGTGGTCTCTTCTATTTCCCAGTCAGCACAATATTTGTTGTGGTTTCTCTAAAGATTGTACCTAGGGCATCTCTTTTCAGTTGGTAAAGAGAGTTGTGAAATGTGATTGATGCTTGAAGAACACATTTTGAAGTACTTATGCGGAAGCTAAGGGAAAAAGGGCATTTTAAATTAATTAAAAAGCTGTCTCTCAAATTCTTAATTAAAGAAAAAAGAAAAAAAAAGGTGAGGGAATGGGATTGATCCTTCTGATATAATTCACCAGCAGTTTCTGATACAGAAATTTCTAATTTTACTGGAATTTAGTGGATACAGAGTCAGGTTCTTTGATCTCCATCCTCTCCATCATCAAGTAGTAAATCTCCATGCAAACAGGAACAGTCCTCTTTATTTTTAGCAATCGTTGTCTTGTCAAACAAGTCAATGAGCTCTTGAGGCACAGTCCAAGTCCAAGTCCAAGAAGTCCATGATACATCACAACATTTTTTTTTTTTAAGTCTCTCAACTTACAGAGTTTATTAGAATTTTGAAGAGCTTTTTCTTGCCTTGATGGCTGGCTGATTTTTTTGTGCCAAAACTGGTGTGCAAATCCTCCTTGAAGAAAATTCATGTGGGCTGAATTCTCTTCCAATTACACAGCTGTAAATCCAAAGTGTCTAATCAATTGTCACCGAAGTCAGTGTAACAAATCAGTCCAAAGGACCTCGAATCAAAGCTGGGTCTAGTGACAGCTCCATTGATCTCTAACATAAGTTGTTGATGAATAAAATGATTGGTATTTGACTAGGGAGGCATGGAAGGATGGAGGCTTTTAGAATGCTTGTAGCTCTACCACACTGAGTAATCTTTTAAAATATATTTCTGAATGTAAACAAAGCTTTAAAACAAAAAAGAACTGCTCATTTAACAGGGTGCTCATGGAACTCTACTGAGGAACATTTCCTTCTAAATAAATTACCTGTGAAGTCCATCACGATAAATCAATGAGTCCTCTATAGTCTCAGACATTTATTTTACAAAAGAATATAAATCTAGGTGTCCCTGCTTGAGCAGGGGGCTTGGACTAGATGGGCTCTAAAGGTCTCTTCCAACCTCGACCATTCCAATTCTGGGAAATCCGTTCTTCTTTTAAATAGAATAATTTCTGAGAGTATCTGGCTTCTGATGATGGATCGTAGATTTATATTCCTTACTGAAGTTACAACTCCCAGTTCCTATGTAAGAGATTCAGAATTTTACTGCCCACTAATTTGAATAAAAATGTTTAGTTATCAAAGTCTGCCCTCTGTTGATGCGGAATACTCTTAACATGTTAATTGCTGCCAAGCATGTTTTTTAATATTACAGTACTTTTCATGGGACTTTAGTAATCAGTTACAGAATTAATTTCAGAAATTCTCTTAAAATAAATTAGCAAAAACAAAGCAATTGTGATTAT